TACTCGGCAGGAGAATGGAGTGAACCCGGGAGGCGGAGGTTGCAGTGAGTCGAGATCGCACCACTGCACTCCAGCCTGGGCCACAGATAGAGATTCTGTCTCAAAAAAATAAAAAAAATACACACACACACACAAAATTAGCCGGGCTTGGTGGCGGGCGCCTGTATCGCAGCTACTTGGGAGACTGAGGCAGGAGAATGGCGTGAACCCGGGAGGCAGAGTTTGCAGTGAGCCAAGATCACGCCACTGCACTCCAACCTGGGCAACAGAGCAAGACTCCATCTCAAAAAAAATAATAAATAAAAATAAATATTTTTTTTGGCTGGGTACGGTGGCTCATGCCTGTAATCCCAGTGCTTTGGGAGGCCAAGGTGGGTGGATCACCTGAGGTCAGGAGTTTGAGACCAGCCTGGCCAACATGGTGAAACTCCCGTCTCTACTGAAAATACAAAAATTAGCTGGGCGTAGAGGCTCATGACTGTTTAGTCCCAGTTACTTGGGAGGCTGAGGCATGAGAATCGCTTGAACCCGGGAGGCAAAGGTTGCAGTGAGCCGAGATCATGCCATTGCACTGGAGCCTGGGGAACAGAGTGAGACTCAGTCTCGAAACAAAACAGAAAAGTTTGTAGAGACGGGGTTTTGCTATGTTGCCTAGGCTGATCTCAAACTCTGAGCCTCAGGTGATCCTCCCCACTTAGTCTCCCAAAGTGGTGGGATTACAGGTGTGAGCCACTGTACCTGGCCCTGACATGCTATTTAAAGTCTGAAACTTGACTCCTGATCCCCAGGGTCAGTTTCTTTACTGATAGTTTTTCAATAAGCCTAGCCATTTAGATAGTTGGCTTGACGATGTAGCCAGAGGGGGCATAAAAATCCCTCTGAGAACTTCTGCTTTGAGCTCTCCCATAGCCAAGATTCCTTGCACGGATCTCCGTGGTTTAATCCTGACAAAAAGCGCAAATAAGGTACAGTAACTATAAGGATGCTAGGGAGCTTGCACATGGAATCTCTTGGACTTCCAGTAATTGCCTAGACTCTCTTTCTCTTGCTATATTTTTAAATAAGCACTTTGTGGGAGCATGCTCAGTAGAGTTTGATGAGTTCTTTCAAATATCCTCTTCAGCAAGGACATCCCTGTCTACACTTCCCCTACTGCTATTCCTCTGCTCTTATTTCCTTCATGGTATCTATCACTGTATGTAATTATCTTATGCATTTTTTTTTTTTTGCTTAAATATTTACTTACATGTTCTAAAATGTAGGCTCACTCTGGGCAGGGTGTTTGTATTATTCACTGGTGTATTCCAGAGACTATAACAATGCAATCACTATTGATTGAATGAGTTAATGAATGAAATCATATTATATTTATCTAAAACTCTTAAATGCTTTAAATAGATCTTTACTATATTTGGAGCTTATTTCTGGACTTGGTGTAAGATGAGAACCTAACATAATTTTTCCACATGAAAGTCAGTTGTTCCAATACCATTTGTTGAACAGTTTAATGATTTGGAATCCTAATTTATCACCTAAATTCCCACTCATAGGTCTATTTTTAGCCTCTCTTCTATTACATTGTTCTATTTATCTATTTCTGCATCAATACCACATTTTTAGTTATTGCAACTTTATAGTGTACTTTGATATATAGAAGGTCAAGTTTTCTCTCATTCTTCTGTTTCAAGGTTTTCTTGGCTACTACTGTGCTGCTTTTCTTCCAGATGTACTTAAGAATTCCATAACACTATTATGATATTGGTAGAACTGCACTGCATTTATAGATTATCTGGGTAAAGTTTGACATCTGTGTCATATTGAGGCTTCCCAAGTTACAACTCTTCATTCATTCAGACTTACAGAATTTTCCTATAATATCGTATGAGCTTGGTACATTTTTTGTGATAGATCTTTGACAAACTTTTTTTTTCTGTCATTTTTGGTCTGGTTAGGATTTTCTATCTCTCTTGGGAGTCAATTTTGAAAACTTTTGCTTTCCTAGGAATCATCCATTTTATTGGTATGCAGCAGTAAATCACACTTTTTTCCTATTTTTTGGTAATAAGTTGTGTGTTTGTGTTTACGTCCCTCCTCTCATTCCTAGGTTTTGGGTTTTCTTTCTTTTATCAGTTAGGATGACTTCAGTTGGAAATAACAGGAAATTGTGATTCAAATTGGCTTAAACATTAAGGAAATGTATTATCTCACATAACAAAAAGTCCAGAGACAGTTTCTAGCACATCAGAACTCTTGGTCCACTTTTCTACAATTCTGTGAGCACTGCCCTTGAGCTAGCAGCAAGATGATTAGCGATTCGAGGCAGCATCATACCCAGACCGCTATAGAAAGAAAAGGACTATCTCTTTCATGCGTACCTTTTTATTTTTTATTTTTCTTTGAGACAGAGTTGCAGTGGCGCGATTTCCATTCACTGCAATCTCCACCTTCTGGGTTCAAGCAATTTTCCTGCCTCAGCCTCCTGAGTAGCTGGGATTAAGGTATGCACCACCACGCCCAGCTAATTTTTGTATCTTTTAGTAGAGACAGGGTTTTACCATGTTGGCCAGGCTGGTCTCAAACTTTTGACCTCAGGTGATCCACCTGCCTCAGCCTCCCAAAGTGCTGGGATTATAGGCGTGAGCCACTGTGCCTGGCCTTGTGTCTCTTTTTGACAACGAGGAAAATTTTCTCAGAAGTTCTTCAACCATCTTCCCATAATATCATATTGGTCAGGACTGGGTCACATGCTCATTCTTAAATCCATCATGAGAAAGGGGACTGAGATGACCGTAATTCACTTAGCTTAATCATTTGGAGAGTCAACCATCTTGACGCTATCTCTCTGTTCATCCTAATCAGACTTACGAAAGGTTTGCTTTATTAGTCTTGTCACAGCTTTTGACTTCTGGCTCAAGTACTTTTGCTTGTTTTCTAATGTATTATTTCTTTCTTAGATTTCATTTATATTTACTGTATTATTAATTTCTAAACTTCCTGTTTTGAAACAGATTCACAAAAGGCTATACCTTTTCCTCTTCTGCCATTTTGGTCACACCCATTAGATTTTGAGATGTATGTGTCCCTGTCATTGTTGTTTCTAAATCTATAACTTTAGTTTTACTTTCTTCTTAACCCAAAGTTTATTTGGAAGGGTGTTTTGTTGTGTTTGTTTTGTTCAAGACAAATGAGCACTACCTTTTTTGCCTTTTTTGTTTTCTATTTTATTGTGGGATGGTCGGTAAATGTGGTCTGTATGATTTTTCTGTATGTGAATATCTTTAAGTATATGTACGAAGACAATGTTTTCTTTCATTTAAAATAAAGCTTTGTTTTTTATTATAGCAACACAGACACTTAGTTTATACTGTATAAGAGAATAGAAGGCATATAACAAGAAATAGCTGTTTATTGCCCCTTGCCTCACATCTCAGCTCTGCTTCTCAGAGGCAACCATGTTCAATTATTTCAACTATGTCTTCTGCTAATTTACCTCCATATTTCCAAACAATACAATATGCTGCTATTTCTCAATTTTTCAATATTAGACATTATCTACTTGATTTCCTACTATAGAATATGAGGACTATTCTTATTATACCATGCTTACTCACTTCCCACTTTTCCTACCATGTGCTCCAACATAGCTTTATCACAATTTATGATTACTGTTTGTTACTGAGACAAATAGTGTTGTCTGATTATATTTCCCCTCTTGAACCATCTTTTTTTCCTCTAGAGATAATAAATGCCTCATTTTTGTACTTTTTTTTTAGTTTTCTATGTGTTTATTAGCTTTTCCAAAGATTTTAAAAAATGTTCTAAGTAACTTAATACTATTTTCCATGTGGTCAAATGCACCATGTAGCTTTTCAGTTTCTCTTCCTTCCTTTTTTTTTTTTTTTTTCCATTAGCAAGATGTCCCTCCTTTTTTGACGCTGTTTTCGGTCATTTGATCTTTGGGCCTCTTGCACAGCTGTTGTCCTAGGACTTCTCTATCTTTTATATGAAATCCTGTTTCCTGAATCTTATGTCTTCATATTTCTTGGTTTCTTCCTTGTGTGGCTGCAGCATGTTTGCCAGGGTACCCTGAGAAAGGGTTTTCAGGTGATATAGTGGAGGCCATAATGCCTCACCTCATACTCACTCAGCTCACCTGAATTCACTTGCAGCTGCTGGCTGGGTCAATTTCTCCTGAGAATTAAACTAAGACAGGGAAAAATTAGTTACCTGCAAACAGTCACCCTGGGTAGGAGAGAGGCCCTAAGAGTGTAACTTCTTCTTCTACAGAGTTTACAATTATCTTCTCACTTTTAGAATCATTCTTTAACCGTATATTTTGTTGTACATGATTCCTCTAATTCCTGAACTTTTTCTAAGATCTTCCAGGAAAATTAGCTTGCTTTTCATTAGTATTCCTTTCTTTAGGGAAATAAACTCAATTCCCTATTACCCAATTTTCTGTAACAACACGACCAAGATTTGTGGTCATCCCAATGTTACTTCTTAGATATTAGACAAAAATAATGTTGTTAAATGGTTAAATAACAGAGATATCTTTATATCTCTGTTCATCTTAATTAGACTTGTCAGAAGTCTTTTTTATTGGTCTTTTCACAGAATTAGTTTTTGATTGTTTGATCACATCCTCCTTTTGTTTGCAATCTTGTACATTGTAATCTCTTCTCTTTGTAATATTCTTAGTCTTGAATAATACCAAAAAATATGTATAGATTTTCCCTACCACATTAGTCTCTCTGTTTATTGTACTCCTGTGCCCACTGGAATGAAATGTTCCTTAATTTTTCTATTTTTGTTGAAAACCACAATTTCAACCGATAATTTGAATTATACAAATTGTATCTCAACAAGATTACTTAAGACTTATCAAACACATTGTTACATACATTTCTATAACTGTTGTCAGCCAAATAATTAAACACTTCAATCTATAATTCCTACATATCCAATGAGAATGTATGTCTTTTTTTTTTTTGAAGGCAATTTTATAACTTCATTTGATGTATTTGACGATCAGCGATTAGTTCTCATCCACATTGACTGTCTGAAGATTTTCGAAAGTGGTAACAGGTACATAGGTAACCAAAGTATAGAGCTTATTTGGTGAATCTTCATCCTCATTACGTTTTCTGGACAGCCACACATGGATTCAGTATGGGACATTCCTTATTCCTCTGGCCCAGACAGCTTTGTGGAGCCTGATATCAATGCGCACATCTGGAGTTCCCATTTCCTTCATGGCAAATTTCCGAATCTCTTTGAGTGCCCGAGGGGTTCATTTCTTGAAGCCCACTCCATGGATGCGCTTGTGCATGCTGATGGTGTATTCTCGGGTCACCACCTCGTTGATGGCAGAACGGCCCTTTTTCTTTTCACCACCCTTCTTTGCTGGAGTTGTTCTGCCGGGTCTAAGTTGGACAGGAAGAGCGCGAGGCATTGTGGGAGAAGGAAAGCCTAGAATCTATGTCTTTTAATAGATCATGCTTTGGGTGTCAAGTCTAAGAACTCTTTGGCTAGCCCTACATCCCCAAAAATATGTTCTCCAGTTTTTTGTTTTTGTTTTTATTTTTTAAGTTTTACAGTTTTACAGTCTACATTTAAACCCAGGATCTCCCAGGCACAGTGGCTCACACCTGTAATCCCAGCACTTTGGGAGGCCAAGGCAGGAGGACTGCTTGAACCCAGGAGTTTGAGACCAGCCTGGCAACATAGTGAGACTCAGTCTCTACAAAAAAAAAAAAAAAAAAAAAAAAAAAGTTACCTGGGAAGTCCCAGCTACTTGGAAGGCTGAGGTGGGAAGGTTGCCTAAGTACAGGAGGTCGAGGCTGCAGTGAGCTATGATTGCACCGCTGCACTCCAGCCTGAGCAACAGAGTGAGACCTTATCTCAAAAATGTACATAAGTAAGTAAATAAATCCAGGATCCATTTTGAGTTTATTTTTTATGAGGTATGATACTTAAGTTGAAGTTTATTTTTTTTCCTATGGATGACCAATTGCTACAACAATCATTTGTTGAAAAGGCCGTCCTTCCTCATTGAATTGGTTTTGCACCTTTGTCAATCAGTTGGGCATATTTGTGTGGGCCTATTTCTGGTTCTCTATTCTGTCCCATTATTCTGTGTCTATCACTCTGCCAATACCATACGATCTTGATTATTCTAACTGCATTGTAAGTTTTATAATTGGTTAGACTGATTCCTCCCAACATTCTTATTTTTCGAGATTTTTAAGCTATTCTAATTCCTTTGTCTTTCCATATACATTTAAAAATAATATTTTCTATATCTATAAAAAAATCGCGCTAGGCCAGGCGCGGTAGCTCACGCCTGTAATCCCAGCACTTTGGGAGGCCAAGACGGGCGGATCACAAGGTCGGGAGATCGAGACCATCCTGGCTAACACAATGAAACCCCGTCTCTACCAATAAATAATACAAAAAATTAGCCGGGTGTGTTGGCGGGCCCCTGTAGTCCCAGCTACTCGGCAGTCTGAGGCAGGAGAATGGCGTGAACCTGGGAGGCGGAGCTTACAGTGAGCAGAGATCGCACCACTGCACTCCAGCCGGGGCGACAGAGCGAGACTCCATCTAAAAATAAATAAATAAAAAATAACGCTAGGATTTTGACAGTAATTGTGTTAAAGGTGTATATTAGTTTGGGCAGAATTGACTTCTTTACTATATTAAGTTTTCCAATCCATAAACATGATATGGCTTTCCATTTATTTAGATTTTTACCAACTTTCCTTCATCAGTGTTGTGTAGTTTTTGTCATACAAAACCTATACATGTTTTGTCAGATTTATGCCTATCTATTTCTTTTTTCTTCTTAGTATTGTAATTGTAAATGATACTGTTTTAAATTTCAGAGTCCACATGTTCATTGCCAGTATGTAGAAATACAATTGATTTTTTATCTTGTATGTTTATGTGTGTTGCAACCTTGCTGAAGACTAACGTATTAGTTCTAGGAGTTTTTAATGGATTCCTGTGATTTTCTAGGTAGACAATCACATCATGTATATGCAGGGGCATTTTCTTTCTTTCTTTCCTACCCATAGGCCTTTTATTTTCTTCTCTTATCTTACTGAACTGGCTAGAACTTCCAGCATTATGTTGAATAAAAGTGGTGCTAGCAGACATCTTTACTTCGTTTTGATTTTAGGGGGAAAGCATGCAGTCTTTCATTGTTGAGTATGGTGTTAGCCAAAAGTCTGTGTAGATGCTGTTTATCAAGTTGAGGAAGTTTCCCTCTATGCCCTCTCCTTTTTGCTTGTTGTTTTTTTTAAAAAATTTTTTAAAGACTTTTCATCAGGAATAGGTGTTAATTTTATTGATTTTTTTTTGCATTGATTGACATGATTTTTTATGGTTTGACATGATTTTTGATGTGATTTTTCTCCTTTAGTATGTTAACATGGTGGATTACATTGATTGATTTTAAAATATTAAACCAGTCTTGCATTCCAGGAATAAACCCCACTTGGTCATGGTGTATAATTCTTTTTATATGTTACTAAATTCTATTTGCTAATATTTTGTTTAGTATTTTTGCATCTGTAGTCATGAAAAATATTAGTCTGTAGTTTTCTTGTGTGTGTGTGTGTGTGTGTGTGTGTGTATTAACCCTGTATTTGTCTTTAGCCCAAGATATGATATGTCTATCTCGGTATATGTGTCATGGGCACTTAGAAAGAATGTGTAGTCTTTGTCTGGCTTTGGTATCAGGGTAAACTAACTTTGTAAAATGAATTGGAATGTGTTCCTTCCTATTCTATATTCTGAGAAACATTGTATAGAATTGGCTAATTCTTCTTCAAATGTTTGGCAGAATTCACCAGTAAAACCATCTACGACTGGAGATTTCTTTTTGGGGAGTTTTAAAATTGTGAATTCAATTTCCTTTATAATTATAGAGCTACTCCACAATCTATTTCATTTTGGGAGAATCGTGGCAGTTTGTGTTTTTGAGGAATTATTTCATCTAAGTTGGCAAATTTATGTGTTTAAAATTATAGGCCAGGCGCAGTGGCTCATGCCTGTAATCCTAGCACTTTGGGAGGCTGAGATGGGAAAACTGCTTGAGGCCAGGAGTCTGACACCAGCTTTGGCAACATAGTGAGATTCCCATCTCTATTTTTAAAAAAATAAATATGGGCCAGGAGCAGTGGCTCACTCCTGTAATCCTAGCACTTTCAGAGGCTGAGGCAGGCAGATCACCTGAGGTCAGGAGTTTGAGACCAGCCTGACTAACATGGTGAAACCCTGCCCCTACTGAAAATACCAAAATTAGCCGGGTGTGGTGGGGCATGCCTGTAGTTCCTGCTACTTGGGAGGCTGAGGCAGGAGAATCGCTTGAACCCCGGAGGCAGAGGTTGTAGTGAGCCAAGATCATGACATTGCACTCCAGCCTGGGTGACAGAAGGACACTCTGTCTCAAAATAATAATAATAATAGTAAATACAAAATAATAAAGTAAACAAATAAAAGTATAGTATTCCCTTATTCTCCTGCAGGTTTATTGGTAACTTGTATCTTCGCTCTCTCTGTCAGTCTTGCTTGAGGTTTGTCAATTTTATCTTTTCAATGAAGATCAATTTTCTCTATTTCTTATTTATTTTCTCTATTGTTTTTCTGTCTTCAGTTTCACTGTTTTGTGCACTTATCTTTATTATTGCCTGCCTTCTGCTTGCTTTGGGTTTATTTTGCTCTTCTTTTTTTAGATTCTTGAGGTGGGAGCTTAGATTATTGATCTGAGATTTTTCTCTATGCAATTAGTGCTATAAATTTCCATTCCAGTACTGTTTTAATTGTGTCCCACAAATTTTTTTTTTTTTTTTTTTTTGAGATAGAGTCTCGCTCTGTCACCCAGACTGGAGTGCAGTGGCCAGATCTCAGCTCACTGCAAGCTCTGCCTCCCGGGTTTACACCATTCTCCTGCCTCAGCCTCCCGAGTAGCTGGAACTACAGGCACCTGCCACCTCGCCCGGCTAGTTTTTTGTATTTTTTAGTAGAGACGGGGTTTCACCATGTTAGCCAGGATGGTCTTGATCTCCTGGTCTCGTGATCCGCCCGACTCGGCCTCCCAAAGTGCTGGGATTACAGGTTTGAGCCACCGCGCCCGTCCGTGTCCCACAAATTTTTATACGTTGCATTTTCATTTTTATTCCATTTAGTGTATTTTATTTTATTTCCCTTGAGACTTCCTCTTTGACCCAAGGATTATGTAGACGTATGTTGTTTGGTTTCCAGGTACTTAGAGATGTTCCTGTTATCTTTCTGTTGATTCTAGTTTGATTTCATAGTGGTTGGAAAACATGCTTTGTATAACGTTGAGTCTTTTAAATTTGTTGAGGATTTATTTTGGCTTAGCATATGATTTATGTCAGTGAGCACCTGATAAAAATGTATGTTCTGCTATTTTTGGGTGGAGTGTTATATAAATATTGATTAGATCCTGTTGCTTGATGGTGTCATTGAGTTCTGTATTTTTGCTGATTTTCCATCTAGTTGTTCTATTAATTATTGAGAGGGGGCATTGAAGCTTCCAGCTATAATTGTGGGTATGTCAAGTTCTACTTTTAATGCTATCACTTTCGCTTCACATATTTTGTAGCTCTCTCGCTTGGTGAATTTACATTTAGAATATCTTTTTGGTGGATTGGCCCTTTTATCATTAAATAAAGTCCCTTTCTGTCTCTGGTAATTCACTCTGCTCTGAAGTCTATTTTATCTGATGCTTTTGTGGGTGTTGGTGGGGGGGCCACAATTTGTTTGTTTGTTTGTTTGTTTTGTTTTTTTCCCCTGTGGTATTGCTAGACTAGTCCATTTACTATCTAAACATTTTCAGTCATGCTAGGCTGCCCCTTTCCTTGTCTTTTGGGGAAGAAGAGAAGGATTTTACTGAGGCTTTTTTTCTCTATACCTTTGGATTTTCTGGGTTGCTGGCTTTTTCAGCTCCAGGTGTAGCATACATGAAACAAAAAACCTATGGAACTCATCACCATTTTGTTCCCCAGGTTCCAAACTCCCTCGCTCATCTGCTTTCTTTTCTCTTTTCTCCATTTTTAAGACCTTCTTATTTCTGTTTTGTATATAATATCTACGGTTTTTAGCTGTACTTAGCAGGAGGAATAGGGAAAATACTTCTATTACATATTTTCAGTAGTCTGGAAGCTGTGTGTGTGCGTGTGTGCATGCATGTGTGTGTGTGTTTGAGACAGGGTCTCACTGTGTCACATAGGCTGGAGTGCAGTGGTGCAATCATAGTTCACTCTAGCCTCAAACTACCGGGCTCAAGCAACCCTCCTGCCTCAGCCTCCCACCCAAAGTGCTGCAGTTACAGGCATAAGTCACTGAGCTTGGCTGTCCCGACCCACGGGATCGTCAATGTAGGCCCTAGAAGAGGGAGTGGGAACTCGGGGGGACAAGAGACACGAGAAATGGAGACAA